CACTGCTCTCCTACTCTCATTTAAAATACTTTTGTACAAACCTGCTTCTTCTCTGATCCATGTTATCTGAGCAGGAAAATTTATTTCTGTTTATAATATTAAGGTCACATTGTGGTTAAAGATGAACTAGAAGTATTCAACAGATGTCTCATAAAGTGAAAAACAAACAAACAATAAACAAAGTAAAACTTTAAAGTCAGTGTGAGCAGACAGTTTTTTTCTGCCACATCAAACAGTGAGAGCTCACCTGAGATGGACCCAAAAATGAAGAAGTATATCACAAGTACATCAGAAAATGTTTCCATTTCTAAAGCAGTCCTTAACTCTTTGCCTTTTCCTTTGGTAATACCGGTACATGAATGTTCATTCAATATATGGTGTCATAAGGAAGTAATGTTGTTATTCTGAAAGGTTAAACTTCATGAACTTGTTAATCATTAACAAACCTTTCTACTAAATGTTTGTGTCAGATTCTGTTTAGTCACATTAAGCTTTCCTTCTGTACTGTAACAGCTAGTTACAGGATGTGTCACTTGGAAGAATTCAACATGATTTATTGTCAGAGAGAAATTAATTGATCTATTTTGGCAAGTAGGCTCCAATGACCCATCACAGCAGTGATAGAACACAAGACAGGAATCCAGCCCATCCCAGAGTCTAGATGTTGGTCGTGAAGATCAACCAATATCACACCAAAACGGGTAACAGACACGCTGGTCCACCTTGTCCATTTCATGCTTTGCCTCTCCAAAGGCAATACTAGGTTGTGAAGTTGGAGATGTTTTGTGTGGGTGTGTGTGGAATTGTTGTCATAGTGATCCAACAAAACCATCAGGCAACACAGCAGCTCCTTTAATTAAGCATATAGGAGACATTTTTGTTTGACTAAATGAAATTAAAAAATTGCATTTAAAAATGGCAAATAATTCGCTGTAATTTTTTTATTTAAGTGTTTAATTGGAAGTTCACCTGCAAAAAATATATAAAAATTGCTACAAGAAGCAATGATGTGACACTGACAGATGCAGGGACAAATCCAAACAACAGAGCCAAAAGAAGATACAAAAGAAACTTAACAGGTAAAACACCTGACCAAAGGTTTTTCTTGTTTTTCTAATTTGTATCACCCTGTTTCCTCTGTCCATCTGAAATTTAGAGAAATATATCTCAAGTACTCAGAAGCTTTTGGAGGAGCTATGATGAAGGATCAAAGGAGTGTCATTTGCAGAAATGCTTTCATTCAGTGTCTAAAAGAGGAATGATATTGTTACGCCCCACTTAAAAACAAAGTGTTGTCTGGGATGGGGAGTAACAAAGTGAAAAAGAAATGATAAACTGCCGCAAAGTACATTTATTACACAAAACAATTAAAATAAAACTGAACACAGGGAAGCTCTTTTCTTCAGAGTCCCCAAGGCCAAAACAACAAACAAAGCACCCCCTTTCAAACTAAAAAACAAACCAAGGACTCTCTACCCAAAAACAACAATACAATGGCTGAGCTCCCTGTCCAGCCAAAAAACAGGAGAAAACAATTGCAACAAAAGAGCTTGAGCTGCAACACACCTCAGCTGCAGCTCATGAGGCAGACCTGGATCACAGGAGAGGGAGAAAAGGCTCTCTCACATAGGGATAGCCACTAGAGGTCAGCGAATGTAACAGATACACATCTGTAATATATAAACCATGGTGTGAGGAAGACTTAAAACTTCTGTTTCCGTCTGTTTTAGTCTTATAGGATGATCAAAAAATTAAAGCGTTTTTGTACAACTTCATAAAGATAGCTATAGCTTTTGATAGAAGACTCACATACACATATTTTTGGCTTTATCTTATAGAATTCAATATCCCCGTGTTGAGCAAACAGGTTTTAAAAAATTCCTGTCCTCCATTATTTGTCTGTGTGTAAATCTCTAAACATAAAGAAATGTTGTGATAAAACAAAACTAGTTGAATTAAAAGAAAACAATTTATGATGAAGCTGTTCCAACGATCACATTTAATTGAGCTTTAAATCGGGCTTCAGAAGCACAGATGTATCATTTAAAGGATTTTTGCCTTGACTTCTGTCTCCTCACTGATGAAGAATAAAGCAGAGAAGTAAAATCAATTAAAGTGACACAAGAAAATTTGTGTATTTAAAATTCATTGCGACAACAAGGAGATGTAGATAAAGGGTTACAAAAGAAGAAAAGAAACAAAACAAACCCAAAACAAACAACTTGTGATTTCAACATTCAAGAATCAGTGTTCAAAGACTGAAAGAAATAGGAGCATTAAGGATTACTAGAGAAACGAATGAAAACACGTCTCTCTTTATCTCATTTAATGTATACCATCAGTACATAAACCTACTACGTAAGACACTGATCCATGTTATCTGATCTTATCTGAGTATTCCTGTGTAGAATATTCAGGTTTCAAATGATTATACATGAACTAGAAGTATTCAGCAGATATCTCATGAAAACAGTGATATAAATATTAGCCAAACAAATGAGTTTAAGGACATATTGAAAGGAAAATGAGGAAGTAAAACTTTAAAGTCAGTGTGAACAGGCAGAGTTTTTTTCTGCCACATCAAGCAGTGAGAGCTCACCTGAGACAGCCCCGAGAATGAAGAAGTATATCAGAAATGTTTCCATTTCTAAAGTGGTGTCTTTCACTCTGACTTTTCCTTTACTGATACCAGTACATGAAAGCTAATTTCAATATATGGTGTCATAAGGAAGTAAATGTGTTATTTTGAAAGGTTTAACTTCCTGAACTTGTTAATCTTCAACACAGTTTTCTACTAAATGTTCACCCCCTCATTTTCTTTTTGCACAGTTAACAAGCAATCAAAAATCAAATAAATAAATAAATAACCTGTTTCAGTAAATGTTGTCCTCTATATTTATATGAGTGTTCGGTTTCCCCCCAAACAACATTTAATAGTAGTAGTAGGAATAGAA